ATTTTTATAATACATTTTTATGTACCTGTGTGAATACGAGCATTCATATAAGCATGATATTAAGAATATTGTATAAAATATGAGAAACGTTTGTTAAATTCGACGTAAAATGCAATTTATTTTACAAATGTGATTATCTTCATACATATTTGCATTTTATTGCGTTTAGATGTCGTTTACTCTATGAATGACGTTTATATTCTGAATTTTATGATCTACATATATATGCATGTTAGTCCTTAAGTATGTCCGCTCCCCCAAAATATCAAATGCAATTATTAAATATTAATGGTTGTATGTATGAAAATACTTAAAATATTTCCATTAAACAAAAAAAAAAAGTAAATATTGTAAATAACATAATAAAAATAAAGATTTTTATTTTTTATTATTTTATTGCAAAATCTTTGTTGCTCCACAATTTTTTTTAATAAATATTTTTTATTTTTTGTTGAATTGCGTTGCGTTCCATCTCTCATTTATTTAATATAAATTATTTTCGTTTTTAATATTAATGCAACAACAAACATATCTACACAATACAACACATATTGTATACAAAAATGTTTGTACGTACACCAATTTCATACACATATTTTAAATATAAAAATCAGAATGCAAAAAACAAACAGAAATAAAATAAAAAAAAATATAAATGAATAATAACAATAACAAAATATTAATAATAACACTAGAATATCAAAAAACAAAATAAGAAATACAATAAAAATACAAATTACAAAAACAACAACAATAAGAACCACGAACGAAATATGTTATTATAAAAAGCACTCAGCAGAAATCCATCTACATAATTTTTCCCTATTTTGACTGAGAGGCGTTTTAACAAATCAGTCATTCCTTCTTTTTTCCCCTCCATAATAGTAATATATATGTTTTTTTTTTTATATTCTCACATAAAAAAATATAATCATATCTCAATAATAATGTATGTAATAACAGTAATAATAATGATCTATATAGATATAAAATATCCACATGGTTAAATTATATTTGTAAATATTTCTATATATTCTCATATTATAAAAATACAATAAAAGAGAATCATATGTGAGTTTCACATACATTTCCAATAGATGACACTATATACGCTTTCATATATAAATTTTATTATAATGTACATATAAAGGAATAAATACGTTTTAAAATTTTATTATTTTCATTATTATTATAAATTTTTTTTTTTGTTATTGTTCCTGAAGATGTTGGCGCCCAACTTTAACACAAATAGCTAGTAGATATTCAACAAATTTTTCAATCATATTCTCAAATAATCATACACAGCTACAATAAAATATAATTATTTTTTTTTTGTTGTTTTATTATTATAATTTCCAATTATATGTTTTTTTTGCATATAATATTAAGGAGTTTTATATAGATAAATATGTCGATATATATATAATGTGTGTATTTATGCATTTGTGTAAAATATTTCTTACGCGACTGAGCATTTTATTATAGGAAAATAAAATGTTTTATAAATGTATTGTTTTAATTTATTTTGATTGTTTAATATTGTGAATAGTTTTTTTCTTTTTGTTTTTTATTTTTATGTTTTATACCACACATTTATAAAAATGACAATATTAATTAATATATATATATACATATATGCATAATTATATAATCTATAAAAAGCTTCTTATAAAAATCCATTTATATTTTGTAAATACAATTGTGAATATTTTTGAAGTATAAATGAAAGAATAATGCATGTGTTTATTAAAATTATACTCACTCACACACAAATATAACACTTTATAACACTTTATATTATTTTATATTGTGAAAAAAGATTGAAGTTTTATTTTAAATTTATATTATTTCTTGAAGATGAATTGAATGTAGTTGTGTGTGTTGAATTTAATCTACATATATAAATTACGATATCGGTATAATATAGATAAGAGCCACACTACATTGAAAATAAATTTTATGTATGAAATTTTTCACATCAGTATTTGTCGTTTTCTTGTTCAATATATAAAAAAAAAAATTTATTTTTTTTCCAATTCCAAATGTTTGTGTACATTTTTATTTTTATACTTCGCTTCTTTATACATTCTTGTTTTTTAGTGTTTTTGTTTTTTTCTTTTTTATTGTATATGCCATAATTGTATTTGCTGTCGTATCATCGTATATTTTATGTGAAGAATGTGAAACAAGAAATGAATTTATACGAGAACTGTGGTGAAACAAAAATGAAAAGTTCATTTCATATACAAATATATTTTGATTTTTTGATTTTATTTTTATTTTTTTGTTTTATGAATGTGTGTGCTGTTTTTGTGTAAAACAGTGTGTACTACAATAGTATATTTATTATTTGTGTATATTTTTTTCAAGTTGTATAAAATATACAATAATATAACAATTTCTATATTCATACACAATATTCACATATTTACGAAAACGAAACGAAAAAAGATAAAATAAAAAAAAATGAAAAATTATATTTTCTTTCTTTTTTTTTTTTTGTTTCTTTTCACATTTTATGTTGAGTTACCCCCGCCAAGTTTAGTTTTCACGTTGATTGACAAGCCCAGTGTGTATTTGCCTTCGAAACGCGTACGACGTGTGTAGAACATTTATAAAGAAAATTCATTCATTTATAAGTTTTTTTTAAAAAAAAAAAACAATAATAAAAAAATAATTATTAATAGTAATAATAAAAAAATTTTAAAGAAAAAATTATCGTTATTTTGTTTTCTCTTAAAAAATATAAATAAAAATATCTTTTTTATAATATTTTCATTTCAAATAAATTTTATATTTTTTTAATAATATTGAAAATTATAAGAGAAGTAAACGTCGTTAATTGTCATACATATTTTTTTTTTTCCATATTTTTAAAAATTGTCAAAAATGTTTGTATAGTTTTTTCGTTCTTTTACTATATAACACTATACTTCAAAAAAAAAAAAAAGAAAATACACAACGTAAATATCATACACATACTAAAATTGTATATAACAATAATATTTTGCAACGGTATTCAACAACGGTACATTCATATACGATATACAACTTAGAAGGAGAATGAAATATAAGTTGTTTTGAATATAAATCAAAAAATTAAATTTTTTAGTTGAAAATTTTTTTTCTTTTTTATTTTGAATTTTGACATTTTTGAGAAGAAAAAAAAAAAACGCTATACAAAATAAATGACAACACGAAACAAAAATTACATAACATTATGGATTAAATTAATAACAAAAAAAAAAATTTACTTATATGAAATGAAATTTATGTGAAAATCAAAATGTTATAAAAACAAATAAAAATAATGGAAAAATTAACAATATAAAAATCAAATAAATATCTTTTGAAATAAAAGTTATACTCTTTAAATTAGTTTTTAAGTAATAATAAAAAAAAAAAAATTAATAATGTTATAATTTTAATAAATAATAAATAGAAAAAAACATTTTACGGTTTATAAAACAACGAGTTTATACTTAAAACACACAAACAAATTATTTATTAAAAATAATAAAAAAAATAAAATTCTTCAAAACCAAATGTATACGGAATTTTTTTTAAAAAATTAATATAACAAATAAAATGAATTAAAAATAAATTTAATTATAAATATATATAGTTATCAAGAAATTAAAAAAATCAACGTGCTTTTTTTTTATTTATTTATTTTAAACATATATATAAATATTATACACAACATTTTTATTAATATAAAAGAAAATTAATCATTTATATTTTGAAAATAATAAATATAAACATGTAATAAAAAGAAAATATACTATTCTTATTAAAATTTAAATCAATAAAATTATATTCATGTATACCTAAAATTATATATAAAAATATAAAAAAAAAAAAATTTATTAAAGTATACCTAAAAATACAAACTGTTATACGACTGCTTTGAATAATAAAAGTATATATAGGGACACACAAAAAAAAAGAATAATAATAAAAAAAAAAAGAAGACAGAATAAACATAAAAATAAAAAAACATAAGGAAAAGAAACATAAAAATTTATTTGACGGCGGGAGATCATCAATCAAAATCAGAGATCTCTGCCCGTCTTTAATAATATATAAAAGGAAAAAAATATAATAATAACAAGAAGTATACTAAACAATTTATATATATATATATTATTTATATATTATTGTTCTTTAATTCTTCATATATCATATTTTTTTTAATACACCTATATATATATATATATTTTTATATATATAAATATAATTAATTTTACAACTCTGTTACAAATATTTAGAACTTATCGATTCCATTTCTAATAATAACAAAAAAAAAAATTCTCTATATAATTTGTGAATTCTTTTATACAAATTTTTTTTTTTTTTCTTTGGGTTTTAATTTTTTAGTTTAAAAATTTTTAACTTTTGTTTGTAAAACTTTAAATTATACAAAAATATTATACGGTTTTAAATAAAATAAATATAATAAAATTAAAATAAAATTATATATAAAATGGAATATGTATAACATAACAGAAATTATTTGTATATTAAAATTAATCGCGCCAAATATTAACAATCGTTATTATTTTCGGGCTAAACAAAAACTCTAACAATTTTTTTCATTTTTCTGATTATATTATTAATTAGTATACTTAATTATATATATATATACTTATATACAAAAAAAAAAGTTATAACTTTTATTTAAAATTAAAATTAAGTAAATTTTTTTTTTTTTTTTTGAAGAACATATATACATTATATATATAAGAAAACAAATACATAAAATATATATAAATAACTTGAAACTCAAGTGAAATGAAGTATACTAAAAAAAAATTTTTATAAAAATGAATATAAACCTTTGATATTAAAATTAAATGAAACATATAAAACTAAATTATATATATATATATATATACAGAAATGTATAAAAGAAAAATATAATTACAAATGTATACTTAAATTTGAAAAATAAATAATGTTCTACGCGGTCTTTAAACACCACTCTATATAACAATTATTTTTATTAAATAAAATTACTTACAATTATAAAAAGAAAATAATTTAAATATTATACGTTCGGTTCTCGCGATCGGTTCGGTAAATATAACACATATTTAAATATTTTTAATTGTAACAAATATTTAAATGAATTAAAAAAACATAATATAAGTAATTAAAAATAAAAATACTGTGCACTAAATTAAAATTGTTTTTTTTTTTTTTTAATTTTTAAAACTATTGCATCAATATACCATAGAATATAAGTTATAAAACAAGAAGAGAGAAATATAATATAACAAGAAAAAAAAATATTATTATTTAATAAAATATTGTATAGTAATGTGCCTGAAACAATTTCATTTAAATAAAGAAAAGAATTCATTTGCAAAAAAGAAGAAAAAAATAATAAAGTAAATAAAGAAAAAAATATAAAATTCACAAAAAAATTTATTTATAAATATTAAGTATTTAAAAAATATACATATACATACACATATATTTTCAAAAATTAAAAATATATTTTCAATGAAAAAAGGGAAAAATTTTCAAATTTTAATTAATTTATAATGGAATAGTAAAAAAGTGAAATTGAAGAAAGAAAAAAGGAAAAATTTACAAGAATTTTTTAAATAAAAGCAAACAAGAATAATTTGTTTTTTTTCCAAAATATTTTTTCAAAAGTTATTTTCTATACACACAAAGAAAATCTGTTTTTAAAATTTTGATTACAAGAAAAAATTAAATAAAAAGGAAAATATAGAAAAAAAATATTAACAAAAATTAAAAGAAAAGAGAGAAAATTAAAAAGTTTAACTGTAAAAATAAAATTTTATTTTCATTTTAAATTTTTTTTTTTGTTGGTTTTGATTTTGTGAGTCTTTAGTTTTTTTGTCCACTTTTTTGTTTTATTGCAAAAGTGGCACAAGTCGGGCTTGATACCGCTCCTAGAGCATTAATGGCTCAACCTAGGGTAAGTAATTTTTTGTTTCTATTCATAACTGTTTACTTAGTATGTAAGATAGTTTTTTTTTTAATAAGTATGTAGGCAAGATTAGTAATCAATGAGGAAATTTTGATTTTTATTGCACAAATATAAAAAATTTTCGGGGTATTAAGCGACGGGAATTGTGTTATCAAAAAAAAATTATAAGTTAGAAATTTGTTATAATGAAGTTGAAAATATTTCTTTTCGTTGCAATTAAAATTAATATCGAGCGTAAAATATTTGTTTAATAAGTAACCAAGTACGTGTAACTGCTTGATTACTTAGTTATTTCATAATATATGAGTTATTAAATTAATGATGTTCGCATTTAAGCAGGTATACTACTATTTAGTTTGTTGTAGTTTAAATGTTTAAATGAATATAGAATTAAATATTGTAAAGAAAGTAGAAAACTAAGGAACCCTCTTTGATTAAAAGTACCTAGTTGGTTTATATGTGATTCGCTATGTTTTAATTCTTTGAAATTCCTAAAAAAAAAAAAATTTAAAAGTTGTTGTTTGGAAAGAATTTTTGAAATATTGAAGCAATATAACTGAGAGATATTGAGACTTGATAACTTTTCTTTTAAAATACCTATTTTTATTTGAATGTGAAACTTGCAAAGAGTAAGTAATATTATAAATGTGTTACAATCAATGCAAACTTAATCTTTAATCGTACGAGTTAATTAGATAGTAAAGTACTTGTTTTTTTTATCAAAGTTTTAATTTAATAAATTTTTTAAGCATTCTGCACATTCTGCATATTCTTAGGTTCTTTTAAATATTAAAATTCAATAAAAAAGAATAGGCACCGGTACCCATTATATCTGTGAGTTTTTGGGTGTTTTTTCCCGAAACTGTTCTGATATTATTAATAAATTAAACAACTTAAATTTAAGAAATAAGTAGGTAACCAAATAATTGCTTAATACATTGGTTGCTTAAGAGTTGGTCGTGTAACTGCTGCCTCCTTATTTAATTTAAATTAATTTCATTCTTTTCTATTAAAAATTTTTCTACATTTCATTTATAAAATTAATATAAAAGATTCTTAGATCTATTCTACAAGTATATTTTTAGGAAGTAAAAAAATTTTTTCGGAAAATAATGACTATAAGTAATATGTTTGAATTGACTAAGAGAATATTAGAAGTTTGTGGTGGTATAATTTATTACGAAAGAGTTAATTAAGAGGTCTTTCAGTTATAATAGAATAAGAGAGCTATTAGTGAATTAAGAAGTACAATGTTCTTAAAGTTTAAAATATAATATTTTGACCCAATTGGCGAACATTTATTAACTAGCAAAGCTAAGTTATTTTTAGTTTTACATCATTTACTTACTTAGTTTATAGTAAGTATTTGTAGTAAAAAGGAACTATAAATATGTCAGTAATTTTTCATTATTTAACAGTTTTTAATTTGATTTTCATAAGATCTTTTTGAACTGTGATGTAAATTTAACGGGTACGTCTAGATAACCTCTCTAATAAGAATAATTAAAATGTGTTACATAATAAAATTTTATAAATTTTGATTGATTGATTAAGTAAAAACTACATTTAAATATTTAGGTACCAAGATTATTTAAGCATAAGAAAATTACAAAACAAAGAAAAAATCGAAACTATTATGATAAGAAAAAAAATTAATCTAATCTTCGAAGTAAACTTAAAGCGATTAAGAGGGAATATACAAAACTAATGAAAAATTATTTGTTTGCTCTATGTCTTAGGTTTATAAATTTTAACTTTAGAAAGGTTAAAAGATTTCAATTACTTTACTTGCATTCAAACGTTTAAAATTAATTCTTTTTTAATTAAATGATTAACTACTTACAATTTTATTGGAAATATCATCCTATAAATTTATTAAATTTCAACATATGTAGCAAGTATGAAGTTCTTATTTTCTTTTGTTAGTAGCTATAAGTACACTAATAAGTAATCGTAAGATCTGGTAAAACCGCTTGTAGAAGAACAAAATAGTCAAAATCCGATTTTGGCGCTGTATACTTATTGGACTAGAAATAAAATACGAGTATATAAATGCATTATTTACAATAAAATTAATTTTACTTTTAACACAACTTATTATTTATTTTCTTACCTCAATTTTCCAGATCTTTAAATAAATTAGTATTAACATTGCTTACATGTGTTTAACTAATAAGTTGAAACAAAAATTGTGTCTTAATGTTCTAATTACTTGTGTTTAACTAATAAATGTGTTTAACTAATAAGTGTGAACTTTAATTTTTTTACTCCCTGAATGCCAATAAAATTATAAGGTTTGAATTTAAACTCTTTCTCAGTGAAGTGACCGCAAATTATTTTTTTATATAATAAATGTACTTTTATGATTTTTAAGGGTACTATTCCATATTATTATTTGATTACTAACTACTTATGTCAAATTCAATCCTTTCGAGCCTAAATTGATACCAATAGTAATAACTTTTTAAGTTTCTAAATACCCTTTTTGCCCGCTGTACTTATAATAGAAAACTCATGTATTTTACAATTATAAGTTTGCTACAACATTATTTGCATTATACCTTTTACTATAAGTACTTATTAAGTAAATGATAAACCTTGTGTCTCGAAAAATATACGTATATGTCCGTTAGTAAGTAGTTTTATGTGATTTTTAGGTAGCCAACTTTATTTTTTTTTTTTTCGAAATATAGACATACCCAGTGAATAAATTCAGTAATTATAATTCTCATACTAAAATGTATTTGAGTACTTACTTATAAGTGTTTTGGCGAAATATCAAATTTCGTATTTAACCCTTTAATGCGGTAAATATTACTCATATCTTTCTATATAAAATTACATAAAAAATAAAGCAAATTTGCAGATATTTTAGATTTAGAACATTATGTTTAAAACTAAATATGAAATTTTTGAATGAAACAAGCTACGAACAGGTTATGTGAGAGAAATAAAATGGCCAACATAATTACTTGAATTGCTACTTCTTACTCTTTTTCTACCCAGTTTCAAATTTTAACTCAATTACACAATTTTTGTTTACAACTTAAATTCTATTCTATTTATTTATAATTATTGCAATTTAATTCATAATTCAAAAATTTTCATTTGAAATTTAATATTCATTAAAGTAATTTAATTGGAAAAAAAAAATTACTTTTATTTTAAAATTTAATTAAATTGTTTTTCTATTTTTTCCCCATTTTTCTATTTTTACATTTTGTTCACATCAATGCTGTAAAAAATTCTACTAATCGTAAACATTTTTAAATTAAAAAACATAACTACCTTTTTATTATATGCAACCATATTTATATTTGTAATTTAAATTTAAATTACAAAAAAGAAAAGAAAAAAAGGACGTATGAAATTAAAAAATCAAATTATAAAATAGGCACCTTTAATTATTTTCTCTTGCAAAAATTCATAATTTAGTTTGGCATGTCCCCCTTTTGTTTTTTTATTCATGTGGTCGCGAAAATTATATATTTTTTTTATAACTGGTATTTTTTTTTCACATACTATTTGTTTTTCTATTTTTTTATTTTATAAATTTTTTTTTCTCTTAATTTCTTGTTGTTTTTTAATTTACTGATTAAAATGGTGTGCCAAACTAATAAAAAACATGGCCACAAAATTTTCCACCCGCAAATTTTTATGTAATTAAATTTTTCAATTTCGAACCAAAAAAAAAAAAACTAGTAACTAACATTCGTACGTATACAAAATGTATATAAGAGTGTATGTACGCACAAATGTGCTCATCATCCATAACTGTGTTTTAGTGTATATATGAGAGTAGGTGCCTATGTATTTTATAGAAATTATGCATTTTTTTTCCAATTTCATATAAATTATTTGTTTTTTTTTTTTTTCGGTTTACCTTTTTTGGTGGTTTCTATTTTGTTTGGATTTTTTTTTTTTTTTTGCTTTTTCACTTACCATTATTGTTTAATTTTTTTGTTTTTCTCTGAATTAAAATTTAATTTTAGTAAAAAAAAATAAAAAAATATCAAAAAATTTAAATAATTATGAGAAAATTTTAATTTAATTTGATGTTTCTGTTTTTTTTTTTAAATTTTGATTTTTTTTTTATTTGAAAGCTTATTTTGTTGAATTTTAACGTTATAGTCGGAGTTAAAGGTGACAAAAACCTTACCGTGACAATGATTTTTTTTTGTTATATTTGTCTTATTTTATTAAAATTTAATGCAATGCTTGACCATATTTTTTCGGTTTCTATGTTCGAGATGTGACAAGACTGGAAAAACAAAAAAATTAATTTGACAGTAAATGCTTTAAAAATGGTTACTTATTATTTTTTTCACTTTACTTTAGTTTCTTTTTTTTTTATAATTTTAAAATAATTTACTTGAATTCATTGGTATTTTTTTTTTCTTTCAAATGTCTTTAAGCCTTGATTTTGTGATTACATACAAAAATTTTCATAATTTTATACTTAATGTGTTCATATTCCCATACAATGTTCAAAATGGGGTTATTCAATAAGACGGTCAACGAATTATTTTCAGACACAATTTATTTTCTATATAAAAAAATTTAAAACATTTGAATATTAAATTATATTTGAGAGTAAAAAAAAATTAAAAGTGTTGAAATTTTTGTTTTTAAAATTAATTTTTTTGAGAGCATGTGAACTTCGGTTTATTTTTCAGTTCAAATTCGAATAATAGTAATAATAGGTACAAATTCTTTTACATTTGTTGAATTAGACATGGTTTGTTGAATTAGACATTCAATTAAGTACTTATTTATTTATTGAGCGGGCCAGATTTTAATTTACTTACTTACTTAATACAATTTTCTCTTTTTTTTTTTAAAGTCTGTACGTAGTTCTATTAAATATTTTTTTAAATAGAGCCAACGCTAAACAGATGAAAATTTCCCTTCAGAATCATTACTTGTTCTCCTCTCCGTTGATTTGTTAAAAATTGAGAATACATAAGTAAGTACTTAAGTACCTAAAG